CGGCACTCACAGGATGCACGTCGAGAGGATTTCCTTAAGGCTTTTTCGGAGGCCTCTCGCGCCGACTATGGAGCCGTGATCAATATTTGACAGGATTCCCATCGCTTGCTTCGAGGACGACGACTACGTATTAGCGTTCGCCAGGCGACCCGCCGCGGCAGCTTCCCGACTCCGTGACCGAGCGTGCTCGAGTGTCTCGAGCGTCGTGCGCCTCGTCCGCCGTGAGGGATTGGGGGGTTCCGGTCGGCCCACAAGAAGAAAAGATGAACGAAGTATAACACTCTAGTCGACCGACCACAAGCAAACAATTTTCGTGCGACGAGTGGTCCCCGAGGAGAGCTCGTTTTTCACGCTCCTCTCGGAGGACATTACGTGTACAAACGCCGACTATACGAGGCATGAGATTAGACGGGTGATTGATGCCGAACCTCCTCCTCCTCGTGGATTGAACCAGCGTTCGCCTGCGCTCTCACTCGCGTTGCTTCAATAATTTCGCGATGAGCAAACCTGACATTGAAGGAGGAGGTGCCACGTGCAACTGCTCTGGAAGCGCGAACCTGACCTTACTGCACGTTTCTGTAGCTTGAGCCTATTCCGGTGCCTAAATCGGCTAGGGATTAAGATAATGTTAATGGAACAGGACTATCGAGATGCTGGATTTAAAACACGCGCGTCTTCTGGATATACTCACGCAGGAGTTTAGAAACTACTGCCCTCATCTGGATTTGTTCGTGTTTTAATGCTATGGAAGGCGCTTCGTATGTGAATTTGGAAGTAGGATTAGGTGCAATGAAACTTGCCTCAGATCTGCTTAGCGTGGTTGTTTGAAAGGTTGATTGATTGGCATGGATTAACGCTTCGTAGTAACAAGGGCTTCACTGGTTGGGCAGAGCCGAAAATGAATGCTTAACCTTGCCTGATGTATTAATGCGCACGCAGAAATTGGCACGTGGACGTTGATACACTTAGCCAACGTAATAATACCGCCGCCGCTGCAGGGAATATAGACTTGTGGTATTGGTGCTGATATATTCAGTTGACATTTAAATTGTGCAATAAGAAGTGAAAAATATTGTGCACACATTTTAGTATGTATGTAGGTGTCTGATAGCGGATCTATACTGAGGTTTCAATAATTTTGAAATCTCCCTTATTAATTAGAAAGAATATAGATGAGCTAAACAAGTACACAGCGCTCATTTTAAATAACACTACATATTGTAAAACTCAGTCAGTTGTGCCACCGTGGTGATCCAGTGACCAAGACACTCGGTTGCTGCCCCGCAGGTCGCAGGATCAAATCCCTGCGGTGGCTGCTGCATTTTTGATGCTGTCGAAAATGCGGTAGGCCCGTGATGATATGTGTGGTTTAACGTCCTAAAACCACCATAAGATTATGAGAGACGTCATAGTGGAGGGCTACGGAATTTTTGACCACCTGGGATTCTTTAACGTGCGCCCGAATCTGGGCACATGGGCCTACAACATTTACACCTCCATCGGAAATGCAGCCACCGCAGCCGGGATTTGAACCCGCTACCTGCGGGTTAGCAGCCGAGTACCTTAGCCACTAGACCACCACGGTGGGGCGCGGTAGGCCCGTGTTGTGAGATTTGGGTGCACCTTGAAAAACCCCAGGTGTTCAAAATTTTCGGTGCCCACCACTACGGCGTCTCTCATAATCATGTGGCGGTTTTGGAACGTTAAACGCCAGATAATATTATTATTATAAGCTCCGTCAGTTGAAATAGCTTGTCATTGTCTGTGCAGGGAACGAATGCAGTTAATACGTTGTGAATTAGATTTGGATGACGTTGCACAGATAAAAACGCCAGGCCTGCACGTAAGGCGCCGCACAGTCACAGCGAAAGCTGGAAGAGCGGCCTTTCAGAACATTTTCTAAACACTCACGGGGTAATTACTGCAAGCACACTTGCTTGATACCCACTACGGCATTATTAGTAAAATGTTTTGGTACAAGGCCGGCATTCTCTAAGCTATTTTTCGTAACCTGAAAAGTGTGATATCCGCTGAACACTTGCAAGGAAGTTTCTGCGAATTGTTCATGCAGTGGCCGACGACGATGAGGAATTATGCCTGAAGTGGGTATGCGTCACAGTTAATAGTAGAACAAGAACAAGCTTTTGTAATGGTTTGGAGCATTGGACGACCCACTGGTTACGCTATTCGCACTGTACGACGACAGGTTGTTCTTTCGCCGTTTTATAACACTTTATAAGTCGTATTAACGTGATTGCTTTCCTGACATCACGCCTACCTAAGGCCAGTTTGTCAACAAGCCCCAAAAACCAGTGTGTCTGTCTGCTGGGTGTCAACCCAAGATCATAACTTGGTAGGGAGACCACCTGGGCACACCGAGTGCTGATGGCATCCTCTTTTTCAATCAAGGAAAAAACAACGGTGTGGCTCAGTTGTAGAATACTGGGCTGGTACCCAGTGGACCCGGGTTCAAGACCCACTGTGTCATTGGTGCAAGTTTTTTTTGTGATATCTTGCGATTTGGTTACGGACTCCGGCGGCGGCGGCAGACAACTACAGTGGCGTATGATCTCATAATAGCTTTCAGTTGTGATCTCATAACAGCTTTCGCTGTAAAAACGTGCGAGGTATCTGAAATTACAAAAAAAAAAAACGAACTAGAGATTTAAGACATGACCTTGATATTGATATCTAAGATCTGTATGAATTACAAGTTTTATCAACACTATGATATTGAGAGTAGTTTTGTTTTATCGGGAATTTCATGAATGTTGCGCACTTGCATCTCTCTTAACTTTCGATGCGATTGTTATTAAACTGACTTGAAAATGACGTTCTCGCACTACGGAGGCGCAAAGTATTTTTCTTTATGCTCACTGGCCAAGGATAGCGTGAGAAGATGCGGCAATTCGCTCTAATGACAAAGTCTTAAGTCAGCGCGAGTAGCGACACCTCGCGAGAAGCACTGAATAGGAAAAAAAAAAACTGGCCCCGTATCTGCATGTAATCTGCAAATGTCGTCGAAAGACGATAGTCTTGCGTATGGAGAGAGTGAACAAGACATTTATTTGATGTTTTGCGCAAGAAAATCAGTGAATGGTATTCTGGAGACGCTGCGTTAGAGTGCCTCACGGAGGAAGGAAAAAGGTAAGGAGAGGGCATGCCCAGCCGGCGCAGGGCGTAAAAAGTGTGGCGGAAATGACATCATGGCGGCCATATTCTCTAGGCACAATGGCGGCGTTGCTATGGTTACGTGTTGCCCAGTGGAGCTGGTCTAGCAGTGAGCGGCCGCGGCTGGCGGCGGAATGTGTGCCTCCCCAGGTCTCATGCTGAGCCGTGGCGGACAATATCTGTGCTCTGCGCCGCGTTATTGGTTACGCAGTGTTCTCCTGGCTGTTACATTACTCTTAGCAACGTTTACAAATCCCTTTGTCCATCACGGGGTTTCAACAGTGCGTAGAACAAGTGCATATCCATGTGTCGTGCGGCGGATGACGCGGATGAAGCAGTTAGTGTTCAGCGAAATTGCGTTGGGCGCCATGATGAAGCTGAATGACGACGAACGCCTTGCAGGTCAGTGACGGTTGAGCAGTGCTCCTGCTTGTGACAACGGACGGCGCTGCTGAGCCCAGCAAGACGCCATGAGGACCATGTGCACATACGTAGTTTCGTGTTGTGTGTGTACAGTAACAACTTGCATGTGCGTATTAAAACACCTTTTCTGTTCCGCTTGGTACACTCTCCACCAGCATTGCATGTAATCTCAACGTAACAGCAACCACGTTCAACTGTCACTAGCACCGTGCTCAGTCACCACGGTCGCAGAATGCTGACGCCGGTGATTTTCACGCGGAACACGGACACAGTGGCAGGACGCTGCGTCGGCCGCGTGGCGGAATGCAACCGTAGAAGGCGCACGACCGATCGTGTTGTCTGTACAGTTGCTGAATTAATGACGTGAAAGCACTCGCCGTTGTCAGTGCATCTAGCGCGCGTTCTCTCGTAGTTGCTTCGTTGTCGGCGAGCTGTTACTCACTGTTATTACTCGGACGAAGCGATTTCGCTGAAGGTGTCCCGCTGGCTCTGAGTGATGAGCCCAGTTCCATTAGTTTCGGATCGTCACGACACACGCGCTGCGCAGCCCACGTGCTTTCCGAGCCGGAGAGGGAGTCGCGCCTTCTGCTTCGCATTCATATGTAAACAAGAGAGGAGAATTTGCCTAGTCAATATGGCCGACTTCCGGCTTCATCGCGGCTTCACAACGAGTGACGTCAGGGCCTCTCCTTACCTTTCCTTCCTCCGTGGAGTGCCTCGAGCTTGCAGCGGAGGCGAACGAGCGCATCAAGTTACGTAACACGTGAGACATAAACGCCACCTGGCAGTTGTCTCAGAAAACAAAGTGCGTGGCTCTGAGACGGGTGTGTGCGCCCCTCACAGAGGTGATAAGGTGTAGAACGCGAGGCGACGGGTAGGTGCAACCACCATCTCGTCTTAGCAAAGCGTTGGAAACACTCCCCGTTCCGGGCAAGCGTTGCATGGTCAGCGCAGCGTGATAAGTGCTACGGTCCTTGAAATTACTTATGTATGCCTTTTCTAGTAAGAAATGCACATGCAGAATATATACGTGTTGTTATGGTGCCCCAGACATGCGCAATAACTGCTTTTTTTGTTGAAAATTGCACAAGCATGAACTCTCAACCTTTAGCAACATAAGTGGGCGCTGCGGATGAGACCAGCCGTTTTGGTTATTGTTAAGAACAGACAAATAGACAAACGTGCAGACAGACAGACAGACAGATACACATTTTTTCGTCGAAGGTCCCCAAGAAAGACTATCGTCTTTGAAAGGGCCGAGTTAGTTTGTTGAACTGTAGCATGCAAGCTCTGCCCCACCTTGCAACACTGCAACGGGGAGAAATCAGGGGCAGCATTTTTTGTACGCTTTTCAGACACGCTCTTGCTCACCGATTGGCGTAACTGTTCTTAAATTTACACCGCAGATTGTCAGCCACGAGTGTCGCCAGGAAAGGCAACGTTCATCCTGCCCTTGGACAACATCTATGCTTGCGGAACAACAAGAATGCACAACAAGCTCACGGTAAGTGACCTCGCCTGCCAAATTGGCATGGCTGCGCAGGGTAGCAAACCGGCTGCCTATGGGCTGGTTAACCTCCCTGCCGTTCTTTTTCTCCTATTTTCCTTCCTGAATCCTCAAGATGAAAATTTAAAAGTGTGAACACGCAGTTGCTTCTTAAAAACGCTAGCTTTTCTTGCCTCTGTGCATACTTCTTCTTCTTGTAGTTGTTCTTGTTCTACTACTACTACTACTACTACTACTACTACTACTACTACTACTACTACTACTACTACTACTACTACTACTACTACTACTATTTCTTATTCTTCAAAAACAATAATGATTCAGAAATAAAATGACGATTGAAATGAAGAACCTCAGGGAGTGAAGCTCAATAATAATGAAAAAAGGCAGAAGGGGTAGCAATTATACGTGAAGAACTACATAAAGATAAAATGGTATTTATCACTAAATTAACAAGGAAAATAGGCAAGCTTTATGGCCTGGCGAGCATTGTTGAAGTATGCCATCTTATGTTATGCATAGACAAGTGTGACTTCAGGGAGTTTTTTTTTTATCGAACAAAGCAATTGAAGTTTATTGATGGATTTTATTCATATTTGTAAGAAGCGTACTATACCTAATCATTAAACAGCAAAACACGAAGAGCAAAGCCTGCCGAATCAACGTGAATTTGTATGAGGCATATTCGATAGTTTGAGCGATGCTTACTCAAACTATCGCTCACTCTTTCATCGCTCGAATTCATAGCTGTACCCTCAAGTTAAGCTCCCGCTTGCAGCGTTGTTGACAATTTCGCGACGCAGCACTTTTTGTATTGAGCCTGATCGACGACGAGCTGCGAGGACACACTTCTAATATATGGCGCTGCCTTGTTTAAGTTTGTCAGGCGTTATTGCACGGAAGACTGTTTACGGGAGGCAACACAGGCACACGTACATGAATCAATGTTGACCGTGCGTGTTGTAATGGAGCGTCTCTCTTTCGTAAACACCCGTCGAAATCTCATTTGTAAAAACGTTCTCAAAGGGTGACGCGCTTTCGCCCTTATCTTGGATAGTGCGCCGCCCACGCGAAAAATCCTTTTCGCGGAGCTCTGCCGGCCCACGTTGAAAGTGAGACGTCAGCAAGATTTGTGGGGGCGAAATTTAAGTAATAAAAATAAAACAACAAATAATGCCCTGTTTGCTGCACTGAAGTACCTGTTGCAGGCTACCGATTAAACAAAAAATGAATAGGACAACTGTGGAATGGTAATTTCGAAGAAGAAAAGAGAGAAAAGAAATAAATTATGGAGCACCACCACCGTTGCCAAATCACCTGCAAGGTGACGCGCGAGGAACTCAGCGACATATCGTACAAAACGGAGACGGCAGAAGCGGTTCTGCGCTGTCGATGTTTTCAGTATAGTGGCCCTTCCTGTCTGCTTTGTGAGTGGACTCGACTGGTCTCGCCAGCGCGACACGAGACACTGCTCCGCCTTGTAGGCGCATATTCCCTGATCAATAGGCCTGCATTCATTGTTACGCTAGTTACGTGCACTTTTGCGAAAGCTGTGACAGCGCGAAGGGCACCGCATTGAGCCACAAGGAGTGGTAGTTGAAGGTTTTCTACGTGCAGATATAGTGTGGGAGTTGAAGCTGTTATGCAAGTAATTAGATTAATTTTGGAGGAAGTGCTTGCGCATTGGGTTGCCCGATCTCTGTGCAGAAGTTAACTGGTAAACGAAGCCGTAGAAGTAACATTATTTTCCCATGGAGAGTTACAGATGTTACTACGTCCTGTGTGTTTTCGGTTTTACAGCAAAAGCTGCTGTGAGATCACAACAAGGGTTGCGTCCACAGGGAAACCAACAGTGAGGCATTTAAATTCACAAGGGGATTTATATTTGCGAACTACTCGCACTTGGAGCACGGGAAAACGCAGCAACCTGAAACCATATGGACGCGCAGTGCGATTTTCGGTTGGTGTGTTATTTTACTCAAGTGGGAATTGCGCACAACGCAGGTAGTCTAAATTACACACCATGAGTGTTTCCCGGTAAGTTTGCTCATGTGTAGGCAGTATGTTTTCGTCTTCTTTCCGCTCAACAGCGCATTTTATTTTGAAAAAGCGGGACCACTGAAGCAATGCACTCACGTATATTGATTTTCTATGCCATATTCACAAATATACGCATTACAGTAGTACACGGATTGCTGTTTGAAGAACAGCTAACTCATAACAAAATTCAGTGCCTCAGCACTCCGTTCAGATGGTTAGCCAGTGAAGCTCAAACCTGCGTCCCAGGTGTCCCAGGTTAATGGCAATAGTTTGGTAGTCTTTCAATCCCTTAATTAAAACGGAGAGGATGACGTTACAAACGGTGCAGCCAACGGCGTGCCCCTATTTCTCTTTCGTTATTTTCGATATTACTCCATATTCAATGCACCTCCTCTTCGTCGTCTTTAGTGGACGCGTGTTGAGTAGGGAGGCTCGCACATTTCTGTGGCAGATATGAGCTAGGAGAGAGACATAAAGAGATACAAATCCATTTCGTGAAATTGCACTTTTCACGGAGGTGTAAAAGCGTTTCCGCGCACATCGGACTGAATAATTTTAGTTCCACCTGTTCATATAAAACTTCGCTGTGACAATGCCACAAAATCATGCTGACTGCACCTGTTTGTGCAGGGCCAATGGATCTACTACCACCGAATAATGGTGGAGACGCCCGGTGAGGAGACGCAAGTCATTCTCGCCAAGTGCGTCCTTCCAGGGGGTTTCAACCAAAGCAGCACGTCTCGCGGACGCTCTCGTCGAGAATCGCTTCCATTCGACCTCATCGAGCCCGAGTAAGTGGTGATCGAGTCGACTTTGTCAGCATAGACTCTAGAGCATTCTTTGCCCCTATTGTGCGGTCCTAAGGTACGGTAACACCGGCTGGTCACACAGGTCACGCGACCGACCGCGACCTGCGTCAAAATGGTTACACATTGAATAGCGCGAAAAAAAAAAGAGGACTTAAAGAAGTTGCTCGTGGAATGCGCTGGCTTGAAACACACATTTATTCGTGTCACTTACAATTTTTGTCCCCGCCTTTTTAGCGCTATTCAACGAGCCAACATGCAGCTTTACACCAATCTGTCCAGTTCTCCACTTTTGGTTACTCAATCTGACCAATGCTGCCATCGACAAGGACGGCAGGCTTGTCACTGAGAACAACAACAACAAAAAAAACTAGAGTTTACGCTAGATGTGTAAAGCTTAAGAACAAGTGAACCTAGTTGACCATAAGGGCATTCCGTGTACTCAGATTTGGGTGCACGTTAAAGGACCGCAGGGGGTCAAAATTTCCGGAGCCCCCCACTACGGCGTCTCTCATAATCATATAGTGGTTTGGGGACGTTAAACCCCACAAATCTAATCTAATAATTCATAAGGGCATTAACGTGGCCTTCTTCGTCGATGGTCTTTCCTCGGCATGGGCAAAAGAGAGTTGAAGAACAGCCTCTCACAGATCATGCTAGAAGGCCTGAACTCCAGCGCCAGTACTAACGTGCCTGGCTGGCTGGGACACCCCTCATAGAAACGCAGGCTTTTCTTCGCTCGTGGTCGGCTCACGTGGCGGGCATAATCGGCGTGGCGGCTACGCATACTGTCCCTGTCGGTGGGCGCGCGTGAGCAGCAGTGGCGCGGAGGGTATCCTGCCGACACTCTACGTTTTCATTCAAGCTATAAGAGATTCGCTCTTGGTCAGCACACACCTTGCTAGTGCACCACAGACATGTTCAGTAGAATTGCGACTAAAAAAAGAGCAACGGGCGTCTCGTTGAATGCCCAACCATCAGGGTGACCTTATGAAACGATAAACGAAAAACGCTCTGCCTATGCTGCGATATAATCGCAGCTGACTCATGACACTGGAATGAAGATGCGCTTTTAAAGTGACAAAATAAAGCTGTTAATTCGTAGACAGCGGGACTAGTTGGTTTTGGTACAGCTATGTACGTATCATATGCTGGCAACCAGGACAAGGACGAGTTAGGGGGCTTTCTACTCGACCGTGTAATCTTCGCCAGTATCATACGCTGTATAGCTATAAAAGAGAGCTGCTTGCCCAGCGAAGCGTACGTTTGGGACGACTATGTATGCTTCCGATTGCTTAGTGACCAGCTGGAGCATGCGATCTTTGCGAGTCACTGGTGCGAACATTATTTTTTATAGTATGGCGCACTCGTTGTGTCAGTACTACGGTTCGTGGGGCTGCCACAGAGACCGTGTTCTTGCGATGTTTTTCGTTGACTGCTAAGCGCGAGAAAACAGCGCTTTGTGACGTTGTTTTTGCTTATATGCTATTGTATCAGATTTGAGCTAATATTGGCCCCCTATTGCAGGCACTTGAACATCACCGAGTATATCGAGGCCCGGGCACCTGTACCCTACCTTGACGTGGCGATACGGCAAAATGGTCGCGTGCTGGACACTACCCTCAACGTACAGCCCGGAACGCCGCTAGAAATGCTTGTATTTTTGGACCCAAAGAGCAGAGGTATGACTACTGCCTAATTACTTGCGCCTGTCTTAAATCGCAAGAAGTCGGCCGAATTTTAAGTCTTTAGTATAGGACGTTTATTTTACGAGGCACAAGAATGTGTGGGCTAGTCAGCACGCTTATCGCTGGAGGCTAATCACTTAGCGTCATAACACCGTTTTTTTGGACTTATTTATATTTGGGGTCAAACTGTTACTAATCTGCAGCTTCACCTCAAAGGTGAAACCACTGGCTAGGTGTAGCATTGAGATTCGATTCACGGACGGTGTTCTGAACATGCGCATGTGGGACCATACCAATAAATGCTTCGACGCACGTTGGTCGTTATAATAGCGTAAGTTGTGAAGGAAAGGTTTTATTTCGCGGGGTAAGCTTTCAGGAAATGTTCCGGACTTCTAGAACAGCTGCTCTAGAAACATCAACGATTGAATAGTGTATCCGCCATACATTTGCATATAGCGTACGTATGAATATGAGATGCCTCACGGTGACAGAGATGGCAACGATTTGCCTGAAATTCCCGTAAATATGGTCGGTATCGTAAGTTTTTAATCTATTTGAAACTCATGTGTTGTGACCCTATTCAAAGTACTGTAGGTCACTCATGGGTACTTGCATTGCGAAACCGTGTTGCGATACTGTCACGAGACTTGTAAACGAGGTCGAACAGATGTTTGTTAACATGAGGATGGACCGCCAGTGCATGCCGGTACTGCGCGCCGTTCTCCTCTTCACCGTTCTGTTAGTTGTTGCCGCTGCTGTTGGTTCACTAGATTTAACCCACTGTAACAATATCATACTTACGTCCACTGCTACACAGGACTTGCAGGGCGAAATTTAAATCTGGGACAGTTACTTGCAAATATTGTCTTGATGTATGCGCACTGCATGCGTAATTGAATGTTTTGTGCAGGCACCTATGGCATCTTAACCAGTTACTTGAAAGTCACAGACAGCGCCAACAAGCAGGAAGAAGTGATCGTCATGAATGGGTGAGCACAGCGTGCGAGATGCGAACAAGTGTGGCTGTACAGGTTACGCTTACTGCGACATCTTGTTACGTGATTCAAGACATGCATTCTTCATTGTTTCCTGTAGATGTATCAATTTTTAGAATGAATATCAGTTGAATTTTTCGAGGTGTTCTGAAAATCTTGCGCAATGTGCACGAAATCTAGGCGGTGCAAGAAATTATTTTATAGCTTGCTGAAGTTAATTCAAAGTAAAGAATGCAGGACCCGTTTGTCAGGAGAAAATAGATAACTGAAATATTTCTATACTGATTGATTTGCTCTTAAACAAAGATGGTATTTGCCAATAAGTATCACTTGAACCTTGACCGTCAATGCAACTTTGTCCAGCCCATCACTCAGTTATAAGCGGGGACAACTCACATCCAAATAATATGAGCTGCCAAAAAATGAAAAAGCTTGATTTCGCTTCTACAAGAACGCATGTGCCTTCAACAGAAGAACACCTCACCTGACCAACTTTTTTATGGTTGCTGAAAGCTTGCATGCTTTGTGTCGTCACTGTGTGACGAAAGGACAGTATATATTTATTGTTGATGAAGATCTGGAGACGCGTAGCGGGATTATGCGATTTAGGGTAACTCAGCTTTCTCAAGAATAGCACCTGCCATGTGTTGAGTACATCGTAGTTAAGCCATCACTTTGTCATACGCGTTGCACACTCTCACTCGAATTAGTTCGCGGCGCAAGCGTCTGCCGTCATGTGCTTTTCGCCTGCGACTGCATGTAATAAGATTAACTCGGAGCACCGAGGTCAGCGCCTGATATTGTGAAGCGTACACTCGTTAGATTTGTAAGTGACATGTGTATGAAAAATAGAAATATTGGCGCTGTCACCGTCCTAAAGGAAATAATGGACTTTGCTGCCCCTGAAGGTGGGTCTAATACATATTTAAATGCGTAATTACGAGTGGCAGATTACATATGCATAATCGAATTGCATAGGCGCCTTGCCTAGACCAAATATTTTCACCAGACCATAGAAGAGGAAGCATGATGGTTCAAATCGGAAATTAACAATTGATTGACGTGTAATATGGTCAAAACTAATTAAATCATTCTATAAAACGGATAAAGTATCAAAAATTCTAATAACGCGCACAAAGAAAGAAGAAAGAAAGCCAGATAGAAGTCTATGATTTACTTCGTATGCATTGAAGAATGCTTATTTGTTTTTTGCTATAACAGAGAAACTGATTACTTCTGTGAAAGCAAAAAGGTGAGCTTGTTTGCGTCATACCATGGACATTGCTTTATTTTTTTGGCTTCTCACACTGGTGTACAGTAAAAGAGATCGACAAAAGCCATGTTGCTAAGTAGACTTATGACAATTTCAACTAACTTTAGTATCCACGTTTTGATGATGATGATGATGATGATGATGAATTAACTTTTATACAGCCCAAACTACTTAGGTAGTGCAAACAGGCATGAGGCGGGGTGGTTTTCTAGCTATGGGACCCCCAATATTCACGATTTGGGCGATATCTACAAATGAAACAAGAAAATTTTTTCTAGGAAACGATGAATGTGCGGTACTTCTGAGAAAAGTGTGTGCGTGATATCAAGGGCATAAATACCGGCAACAATTCAGGTTTTATAAACACCAATATTATTTTATAATTGATGAAGCCCAGCGAGCCCTGCTTGAGTGTTAAATAGGGCCGGATGGAACGTTACACCAAGGAACCTTCGAAGTAAGGATAATAATAGTGGCTTTACCCTTACTGCGTTTCAGGTGCTCCATCGACCCGTACATTTTCGGCAACTTCGAGACTCTCGACGGTGGTGACACACTTTCAGCCAAGTTCAGGGCCTTCAAGTTCCCTGAGTCGAATTATGTGCTCTTTGTCGGCACCGTCAACGTGTGCATCAAGGAATGTAAAGGCGTAAGCGAAACTTCCCACATGCCTCAATTTTTTATCGCGTACTCTCTAGAACCCGATTGAAGACTTTGTGAACCTCTAAACGATACCTGTTGGTAGTTATCACAGTGGACGAGTGTCATTAAAATGCTAAGGCTTAGGCTTTGATGGCCTTGTCGTTGTGAGTTCACACTTTTCATTTAAGTAGCACTAATGTCGCGCTACTTACGAAAAAAAAAAATGTCGCTGTTACGTCCCAAGGGGGAGCAACCAATGCGGGTGCGAGAAATTCAAATGTCATATGCAGAAAGTCTAGCAGCTCGAAACATACCGCGTGCTGCTCGAACACAAAGGATGCATAAAAAAAAAAAGACGCAGGGAGAGAACAACAATAAAAGAAAGACAGAGAGGCTAACGATGGCTGAGTCCAGTAGGCTACCCTGCATAAAGGAGAAGGAGAAGAAAAAGTTCAGAAGGGAGAATAAAAGGAGAGTTACAGAAGAAGCATAAAAAAAGTCGCAGTTTTGCCAGACGGGCGAAGCACTGAACGTGATAGCAACATATTCTAATGTTTTACGAAGTAAGACTAGCATTTTTAGGAGCAATGGTAATTGTAGTAAACATGTGCTTGCTAAGTAACCAAGTTTTTTTGCGGCGCAGCCACAGTAGATGACCAAAACAAGGCTCGTGCGTAGTGATGGAATTGACGAGAAGCGTCTCCGGTGGGCCGCGCATGCTGGTACTAAGGGCTGTCTGTGGAAGGGACGATGATTGCACTAAATCAGATGAACAGAAAACGTTAAGCGATGAATGTGATAGTGACAAATGGCAATGTTATACGAAGTGAGGCTGGCAGTCAACTCATTCAGATCCGATCTCACGAAACTCGACAAAACGCTGGTATAAGAGTACACAACCGCTCCAGATACACTCTTGGCCCCGTTTTTTTTCGTGTTGAGGGCGCAGCCCGCAGAAGCTCCCGCCTGCTATGGGGGCACAAGGCGCGCGTTGATCGTTGCCACGACTAGCGCAGCAACCATAAGCGCTCTTCTCCCCCCTCGCCCAACCTCGTTCGCTCACAAGATAAGCGCGCGCAGACGACCCCGGCCGGAAAGGCGATGTTCGCTCTGCAGAAAGGGAAGGATAGCGCATCCTTCCCCGTATATTATACATACATTTAAGTATACGTGAAAGACGGTGGCGGTGACGACGGCAAAAAAAAAGAAAAACAGCTGAGACGGTCCATATAATTGCTATTGCAATAAAGGTCTCTAGAACGCACAGGCGTAAACTAGACGAGCGTGAACTATTAATTGTGTCGGTTGGTAGTTCGCGCTCAAGCGAACTACCAGCTCATGAATCCTTCTTGTGTTTAAGCAGCAACCCTACCCCTGTCGACTGTGCATAACCAATGAGCCCCTACTTTGACTCATTCAGCGAACGGCTACTTGTTTCGCAAACACGATCACTGCAGCGAGATAACTACTTCTTCGCGGTCCATAGCATCAACGCAGACTTTGTGCTGAAAGCACAACACGCGCAAACCTAACCCTAATAGATAAGCGTGGTAGCACGCTTCATTGCGCCTTGCTGGTCAATGTACCAGGTGGAGGTGAGCATCCTAACTCCGGCGAAAGACAAGCTGGGTGACAAACTTCAAAGCACGCCCTTTGAGCCATTGTGCGAAGAAATAGCGAACGAGCTTCTGCCGCGCTGAAGCTTATCAGAGCTCTGCGTGCTTCTAGTGGTGTACGGTGTGCTTAAAAGCTGCCGGTGGCATGCCGGAGAACGTACGCAGCAAGACAAAGCCGTTTAGCACGTCGTGCTGTGGAGCGAAGGGGCGTGGTTATAATTCCTGGTTGCACGACTCGTAATAAGTTCACAAAAAGTGGCAGTGGCTTAGCTCAGCTATGCTAGGATATACGTAGCGTTAGCAAAGGTTCAGCTGATTATTCTTAGCTTTCCAGAGTGTCTAGGATTAGCTTGATTATCATGCTTACTGCTGCTACAATGACACACGTATATTTATTTTGCCGGCAACTACTTTAAGGATTTTATGAGTTAAGCTTCTCCGCTCTACTGCACCGTTGAGCAGCATTTGCACTCTCCTTCTCCATGGCTATACCACAGCGGCAAACGCCAGTCAGAGGCGCTATGAAGCGCATTGATCAAGCGGCTCCAGCGCAGTGTCAGATGGCGACTGCACAGGAAAGGCGCGCGCGTCGGCGTCCATACGTCTACCAAGGCTATGACGGCACTCCTCTGGAAAGCGCACACCGGCGGCGGCGAGTCGCGCGCGGCCGCGGCCGAGTGCGAGGGAGGTGCCGGCTCCGGTGCGTGACACCACTGATCGTCTGCGCAGCGCATCGAATTGCGCGCACACCGGCGGCGAGCCGCGCGCGGCGGTGGCGGAGTATCATTGCGCATGCGCAGACCAGTGCCACGCGAAATTGGCTCAGCGAGGCCAGTGTAGCTAACGCTACAATATCTATAAAATAATATTGTTTCCTTAACAGTTAACGGTTACCGAGCCTCGGCCACGCTGAAGCACATTGGATCACTCCTGTTTTCGCAGTTGAGCCAAACTTGCTTAGTTTGCGTGGAATGAAACAATACTATTTGCCAGTTCTGTTAATGACATTCGTTCATTGTTTGCTTTAAAGAGTCGCTGAATGTTGCTTACATAACTGATTGCTCGAAGTGCAACGTGGTTCATTCGCTTTACCTTTATCAGGTTCCGTGTGGCAACGATCAATACGGCTTTGGCAGGAGGAGGCGTTCCATCCCTCCGGAGATTCCGAACGATCCGAACAAAGTGTTCGAAGTGGAACTCACCACGTTCCTCAAAGTTCAATACAGGGACGACCTTTTCACGCTCAAAAAAGGTAAGCCCACCGCTCAAAATGTCGAACAAATGTTGTCGTTTTTTGTGTTGTTGGTTGTTGATGCCATTTTCTAGAGTTACTTTTTAATTAAAGCTGTGATTTGTTGTATGGACACGTCGATTGACGTGAAACGGGCAAGTATATTCCAAGGAAGAGAATAAGGTTGTATTACCACTATGGTATTGAAGATAGCAAACGCAAATTGATGGAGGTGCAGGAGCACAGATGCGCTTTTTAATACCTACTCATTAAATTTCACTAGCTACAGCCCGAAAATTGGTAACATCACCAGCAAGGATATAAAGTTAGGACTTCTCATTCAAAAACCTTTGCTGATTTATTACACTAACCTTCACACGCACATTTGCTGTTTGTGGAATAATAACGTTTCGGCCGAGGCGTCCTATTTTAATAAGGAATCACACTCTTATCAATCGGTTACCGCAGAGGGATGGTGGTATCTGAATTCGTTTTTCGCAAAGGTGCAACTATGTTGAGAACTGTTTTCATTAAACATAGTTATCAATACAAGAAGTAGTTCTAAGCAATGATATGTAGGTAGCACAGCAATATTTCTCTGATGAAAAAATTCATGGTGAAGAAATTGAGGCCAGGCTTGAAACTTGTTTTCACTTTTGCATAAAGCGTAGCTCGCGTTTGGAACACATGCATTCTGTGTGTGTGGTTCTCTGCTATGCGCTCATATTTTATGCACGGATGTTGTAAAGCCGCACATACCTGAAACTTATCACTCATCAACAAAAGAGTGATTATCATCATTAGCGGGAATTATCTCAGATATACCTTTCCCTTAAACATGTAAAGTTAAAGTTCAGATAACATCTGTGTGATTCAACTTACAGTAATTCGTATGCATATCACAGACCTATTCCTAAGTCACAAAGTGAGCGTCACATGAAACTTTCTGTCGCTTTGCCCACTTAGTTTGAAATTCTTCGCAAAGAGAAACCATCTTGTAAAACTGTTTGATTCAGTCTCATTCTTCATTCGACATTCCTAACTTGAATATGAGGGCACCACAAGTCCAGGATCTTATTGTATTAGAGTCATTATTGTGTACACTACTATTATGGGCTGCCTCTGCTTTTAACCATGCTCAGCACTCTTCCATGCTTTTTTAACTGGTCTTTCCGCAACGTCGCTTTGCTTGTCTTCATAATAACGCACTCCATTGCTTTTGTGAGTTTATATGAAGCCCAGCCAAACAAAGTGACCGTAAAGCAATGGGTAACATAAACAGTCAGTATAAATTTATTCCAAAGCCAAGACTGGGTGCCATTTTTCCGAATGCTATGTATATTGGAACACTTTTTATGTTGCAGTACTTTTGGTAAATTTCAATAACTATTGGGACTCGTAATAGAATATTGTTTTCTATCAAAAATTAGTCTACACGCTTTCAGTCTGTAATGCTGTCGCTTCTAGCTTGGGGTACGATCTAAATAAATTACAGAAAGAATCATATGCACTGACGCGAAATGATTGGTATAGAAATATAGTGGTCCTCGTCATTTTTGCAACAGGGGGTTGGTGTTACCACTTTCCTCGTGAATATACGTATTATCTGGACTAAATGGGAGTTCGCTGCTCAAGTCCCGAAATTCCGTGCAGTGAGGTACAAATATTGTTCAAAAAAGAAAAAAAAATATATGGAAAGAAAAGTCGCAGCTTTGCCGCAAAGGCGAAGCAATGAACGTGATAGCAGCAAATTGGAAAGTCACGCGCAGAATAGCAAGCAGATCAAAACGTTCCCCGCGTTTCTCACGCACAAATTACGCACGAAACGTACTCACAAGTACAGACGAACGCGAACAAGCGTCTTAGTTCTCACTTCGCTGTGTCTGGAAAGCGCGCCCTCTTCGCAAACAGAGACTGTGTGACGATTGCAGTGACCTTTGTGCGCCCGGTAACTACAACAGAATCGTCCCGGTGAAAGCCCAAGGCGTAAGATTGTCCCTACCGCTAGATAAGCAAGCGCTCGCGTGAGCGTCCACCCTGCCCTCTCTCCGCTGGGCAAAGTACGCGTGGAAGATGTGAGTGTGCGCCGCCGCGTTGTGATGATGTGGTGACGCGCGCTCAAATGCGCCATCTTGCTGGTAATGCTGAAAACATGACAGTTACCCCCGAGATGCCCATCACCAGCAATAAGTGGTAGATATAAATAGCTAGCCGTTTGAATGTTAAGGGAGGTGCTCCTTCGTGACTTAGTGGCGCACTCACGATTCAAACGTCCGACGTTCGATTCCGTGTGCTGGACGGAATCTTTTTCTGGATTATTTTTTTTCGTGCGTTTTCATATTATATATATACGGTGAGTGACGGTGACGCCGGCGGCAAAATTCAGCCAAGAGTGTCCATATAATTGCTATCGCAATAAAATAACTGCGCATTCAAAATACACTGCACTATTTTCGCGGACACCACATGTACGTTTACGCCAAGTGGTACTGTTTTGCACGCGTTTTGTACAAATGTTGGAAGATATCGGTGCACCACGTGAGAGTTTTATAGCATTTCAGGTATCTACTTGGACGATCACTTGCAGGTAATATGCATCTCAAGTTTTTAGGCAAGTACACGGAAGAGCGACAATGGTACCGATACTCACCTGAAGACGCAAAAAAAAAAGAAAAGGTGCGACTTCCTTACGCGTGCAAGAGCACGAAAGGGCAACGTTTAAAATTAAACAACTATGAATACCTCACTGACGTGTGCGGTATCTGGTCTCGAAGAGTCCATATAAAATGAGGGCTACGTAATAATTATTATTTATAAAACATTGGACAAATTTGTGGGAACGCAATAATTCGCGATATCGTTTGGCTGTGTAGCATTCTCTTCATTGCTAAGAAAAGTTGTCAGCGAAGTGTAGGCTTAGAAGCGGGCTTTGAAACGCGAAGCAGAAATCGCGCACTCCTGGACCGGACCAAAGCTTATGGGCTTCGCTAAGACTGCTGCTTTTTTTGTTTTGCGCTGGTAAATCTATCTCATGGGCTTGGCGCTTTGCTTGGCGTTTGCAGGGTCCATATCGGGCGAGTTCGACGCTCGGACGGCCAACCAGCTGCCGCTCAAGCAGGACGGGGACGCGTCCTTCCAGGATCGCTCTGCTGCCGCCGGTCGTCGCGGCTGCTGCTGCTTCTGCGCGCTTCCTCTGCTTGGCCTGGTTTTCGCTTACTCGCGGGCGACGCTCAGGCTTTCCTTCTGATCACGTGGTGATTCGCTGGCCACTATTTCATGCCGAAAACTGCGCTTCGAGCCACCGACCTTTAGTTCCCGGTGACTCCCGTCGCACCGGAGAACAAAACGAATTATGTTCCCGAGAAAGCATCGTCTCGTCGACCGTATTTGAGAGAAAGACGGGAAGTGTGAAAGTACCGTCGTTAAACGGGGCTCATTGATCCCTATGTTTGTCTCTTGGGTTTACTAGCGCAGTGTAAACGGAACACAAGGAGAAGTAGTAGACGGCCCGGACTATGGTGATATTTGCGGTTGGCTCGTCTGCATCTCGCCTGCTTGTCCCGTTTGTATCGCGCTAGTGTCACGGACCACGATCGTTGAAAATCGCACCACCTTTTTTCAAGTCATGCACACATGAGCGTTAGGATGCCAGTCAGCCCTCCGAAAGACCTTACGAAAAGCAACGTTGATAGCGCCTCGCGATAACTACTCATTCGGTGAGCTCAGTGGTAAAAAAAATATGTTTAAAATAGATTTTGTTTACTCGTTCTTCTATTTATAATAAACAAGACAAAAATAAACCTAGAAAGATGCAAGTTAGTTGAAATTGGCTATGTGGCCTCTTGGAAGAGCCGTTCTAAAAAAGTAAGGTAACTGTAATTTAACGGTTTTCATTTGATGATTGAGGAAAAGTAGAGCCCATTAGCTGAAGTAGTTCTGCTGTTCCCCAGGACCTTAGCAAAATATTGCGTTAAATGAGTTAGTCGCCAAACGTAATGCATATTTGACACTGCATGGCAGTGATCTTCGATTCCACGTGTTCGTTTCATTCGCAGTATCTTGAAACCTTACACGAGACATTTCGGTGAATGACTAGCACATACCTAAATATTATTCACTCTAACGGTCTGTAGTGTATTCTGATATTTTAAGCGTAGTCAAAGTTTACACAAAGAAAAGATAGAGACCATAAGATATTTTTTTGTAGCACTCGAAGTTCTTACGCCGTCAGGGCCAACAAATGGAACTTTTGTGTCAAGAAATGAAAAACAAAAGTCAGTTGATGTGAGTGTGTGTGGAATTAATCATAGATAGCTTTGTTCCCGAACTGTACCATTGCCTTTTTTGTTTGGGCTCACTGTGTGACAATTCGACATGCGCTGATTGTTTGTGTATCTGTTCTGTTTGTTGACGTCCTTCCAAGCGCGGTCAAAGTACGCCACTGCGTCACATCGGAGGCAGCTATATTGTACTTGTACGAAATGTGAGATTTCTACTGTGTTTTTCGTGCCGTTCTTACTCATAATTTAATTCGCAGCTTTTCGCCACAAAGTTCAGTCACTTGGTTCGTTTTTTTAAAAAGATATTGCCAGACCTATGACACCACTTTTAGTAAATATCAATGCTATTAGTAATAGCAGACATGGCGTCCACGGAATAAGCAAAAAGACGTGGTTCGGCCATTTCACAAGCGTGGAAATATTTTTCACATATTTATGTTGCTGTTCATGGACTTCTATTTCGAAAAGCAGACTCTTTAGGCGCTGTAACGGCACCCCTTTCTATGGGACGACAAAGACAAGTAGCCTAAGAAAAAAAAAACGCACACGTGAGCACTATTACAACACAATAATGTTAGTGCACCACGGGAGAAACAGTTCTTCAAGAAATGGAAGCGCAAGTTGCTAAAAATTGCAATACTGAACCAACTTTTATGCACAAGTAAAAATGTATGGGACGCTATAAGCCGAAGAAATCTTGCATTAGCTTGCTGCTTCTCATAATTGCCACTAGCTCTCAAGGAAGCAAGCATTCGCGATTTGTCTTCCTTTGTTATTTTTCTTTACTCTCTGGCATCATGCTCCGCCATCCTATCAACACAAAGACATGTTACCAAGTGACTCGCCGTCTGGAGTGGAAGTTGGCCAATAACAAAAAGTTATTACGAATGGAATACTTGGTGAACTCCTCCCGATGGGATTCTATTGCTAGCACTTCATAATTAAAGCCGTTCCTGTTTCGTATCTCTTCAGCAACTCTTCAGCGCTTGTTCACGGCGCTACTGCGTCAAGTAAAAGGCAGAACAGCGTTTGTTTTGCTTATTTCTGTGCTTGGGCGTCTAAAACAAGCGTTCCCGTCCCTGTACAGACTGTAGCCAAGACCTTGTACAGTTTTCTAAAAAAAAAAAAACAAATCGGGAAGCTGGTAAATCATTTGACTATCACCCACCGCTTTGCGTGATGCCTTTTATTTTCATTGAGTTTTGTTTTTGATCTCTGCCTCATCACTCACCCGTAGACGCCGATATATGGCACGTCGTTAAAAAAATACGTTTTCATGGTTCTGTTTTCTTGAACTTACTTGCCTCACGTGCACAATTTCTGTGTGCAATTTGTTTCTTTTGATGAAGCATCGCTCAAAAAGAAAAATACACACACACTGCTTCAAAGAGTTCATGGCTGATCAACTAGCCCATCCGCACATATTAGGTGTTATGTTTCGTTGATTTTTGAATTCATCAGCTCTGAGGCCAAATCATGAAGCAAGCAGAGCTCTACCTTGGGTTGTCATCAAGTACAGTCGCCAGAACAGTGCTTAATGTGTAAACCATGGTCTGTGAATAGTCCGCCGTTTGCTGGAAAATGTTCAGCAATGGGATTCTGAAGCTTTGCCACGGCAGCGCACAACAGTGACGGGGACAAGATGCTTGGAACAAATGAAGACTTTAAAGAAAGTTGGCAGAAATCCTTGAGGTTACTGTCATGAGATAGTGCAGTGATACCGTGAGCTACTCAAGGATAGATTTGGTAAAGCCCGGGTGCTCCTCTTAAAGTCTCAACCAGTTTGCAGACTTTAACATCTTGAATGCAACTTATTTGATCAGTAATGGTTGTCTAGTGGTGCCAAGATGGGTTCATGGGTGCGTTTGACGCGTGCTCAAACGTGTCTGTTAAGCTGCTAGTTGCAGCTATGGGCCACCTCGATATATGTTTGAGACATGGGAAGTAGACTCACAAAAGCTAGTCTGCTTCCTCTCGAATGCTATAAGATTTGTTCATCAATTGTTCGGCGAGGCTGTTTCTGCATTCGCGTGTACTGATACATGGATGTGGGAGTTTTCCCAGAGCTCAAGCTTGCCTTTAAGTTCTCTTAGGAAAAGTACAGGTGAAAAGGGTGTATCCGAAGGTTTTACAACAGATTCATGCCTGCGTGGAACGTCACTGTTTTCAATGACCGTTGAACAAACGAGTGTGATATGAGCTTTGCGAAGTTTATGATTGAACTGGAAATGTTATCTGCACATTTGACGTTATTGGATGCCACTGACTCACAATCCCACCACATCGTGAACGCACAAAAAATGACTTTTTAAAGCCTGCCCTCTCTATACATTTGTCTCGGCCTTCGATCACCTGTCACGAAGTCATGTCCGAAGTTGCTGCGGCGCGATATGCCGACTATAGCTGATGAAATCGACCAAAGTTCTCGCGCAGCTCTTGGCGTGCGAAAAAGAAAATCCTGCAAAGAGTTTGTTTATCCATCGGCCAAAAAGCAGCAAAATACGCGCATGTGTTTTTTGTTAGTTGGTACAAGGAAAATCTTGATGCACAAATTTGGAGCCGTCTCATGATTGGATATATTGGTAATTAGGACGTCTCGAGCTGACTATTTAACCATCTCTTTCTTACTCTCCTCTTTTTCTCTCTCTCTTTTGTATTATTCTCCCTCCCCCAACTCAAATGTAGGGTAGTCAACCGATTCAATGCTTGGTTAACCTGCCTGCCTTTGCTCTCTATTTCTGTCTCTTTCGAGGAAGTTCAACACGCAGTTTTAGTTATCACATACAAGTAAACAATCCACGACGTCACAAAATGTTAAGAAATGGTTGCGCATACTAAAGACAGGTTATTTAGCATGTAAAAGTAAATACTATGGATTTGAAAAAAAAAAGCTCCCGAATGTGCGAAGGAAGCCACATAGAAAAAATCTCAAATAATTGTGAAATACTTGGGATGTACACTACTGTTATAATGTGCATGACATTGTTTGCGATAACATCTGCTTCCTAAATGTATTCTTTTATTTCATGGGACGAAAAAAAAGACAGTTATATTGACATGAAAAAAAATGACCTGCACATCTTTTGTTGGAACTGAACGTGCACTCTTTTTTCGCCTCGTAGTTAAATAAGCTTTTTCACCCACCCTCTTGAAGGCAAGTCAGAAAAAAAAACAGACATGTGGTTGACTGAAACCACCTCCATTAAATATAAGAAAACGAACACGCAATGCTATTTCAGCGCGACCTACATAATGAAGCAGCTTCTGGCGTCGCTTCGTGACATTGTTGACTCGCATTCAAGCAACTCGCGTCCGTGAATACAGGAACATTGTGCCATTGCGTGCGTTCCATCATTATCATCGGCCAGTGTCATCATCGTCAGGCATAACTGAGTCATCGGCACAGCGCATTGCCAAATAACGAGCCCGTCACGTGCTGTTTGTTTGTGTTCATTGTGGAGACAGCGCGCTAACCTTTGAGCTATTAAGGGCGTTTTGTGTGTTGTCATTGTTTTTTTTTATTTTCGAGTGTTGGTCTCTCGACATCCTCACTCATGACTGTTCTCCTTTAACACTTGTACGAATAGTTAGTTGTACCTGTCTATTTCCTCTACTGTGTCTCTTTATTTCTGTACCAGTCGTCATTACTGTTTACCTGTTTCTATGTCTTCAAAATAAGTGTGGTGTTCAAGTGCGTTTTAGTAGCGACTGATTTGCGTGACTTCTTTGTTTATGTTTAGAGATATATGCTCCGTTTCGTACATAGTGCGCTACGCACCCGATGCGGCGGTCTAGTGGTTATAGCTCCTGACTGCTATACCGAAGGTCGCGGGTTCGAATCTAGACCACTATGGCCGCATTTTATTGGAGCCGAAGTGCTAAAGGCCTGCATACTTTGATTTAGGGGCACTCTAAAGAAGCTGCTCGAAATTTCCAGAGCCCTACTCTACGGCGTCGCTCTTAATCAAATCTTTGTTTTGGGACGTAGAACAATGATTATTACTCTTTAGCGTACGCTGCAGTGGAAGCGTTCACAAGAAGTTCGATTATGGAAATGTTTGGCTGGCCGCATCTCGTCGTCAGCAATCGCGTTTGCGAATGGCGGCGTGACGCTGTAGGAGGACGCACCCCAAAGGGCTACGAATGGGAATAAAAAAATTTTTCCCATAAAAGTAACGAAGCGCTAATTGGTTAGCGATGGTGTATCATCAGCCGTTTACAACAGCTTGTGCATTATCGAGCTACGAAAACGCCCTCATTTATTGCTCAGCCTAAGTTTAGAACAAAATCAAGCAATGAATGGGGAAAACGATGAAATATATATTGGTGCGGAGGCAGCTACAGCGCAAATCCAAGTCACGCCAGCCTCCGCAGTGTTGCACTATATGCATGAAATGGAGCATAGGCGATGTGTTGTAGTTCACTGCCTTTGTACTGTAAATGTTCACTGGTTTGTTCTGTGCGCATTTCTATGCTTGTCTATTTTCCCTCTATTTTTTCAGGCGTTTTGTTGAATGAAGGACGCCAGAATGAAAGCACGCGCGTCGGCCACGGGAAATCGCAGTAGCGTTTACATCCTGCTGACATTACTAATGTACATACTTTGGATGTTCCAAAAGAGTGTAGCGTTTTAGTGGTGCTGGCAACTAAAAAGCCAGTAGCCATGTGAAATAATAAAGAAACGCCTTAACATTTGTACGTGCAGTGTTTGTCTGAGTTCTATTGACCCGTATTTGGGATACAAGATTAAAAAAGGATGCTTCCTGTTTTTGGAAGAACTAGCTCGCTTCAATGAACGCATGTCCACTCCTCTCTCCCACCTACTCTTGTTTTCAAAAAATAGACATCGAACGTCTCCTCTTCGACAAGCATCGGCCCTGAAATGAAGC